GGGGGGGGGGGGGGGGGTTGGTTTGGTAGGCAGGGTGCTCAATTCGGTTGACGGGGTGGGGCACCTCGCTTGTATAATGGTAGGGGAAACACTGCTTATCGTAATTGTCAGACTTTAGAACACACCTGTCTCTAAGCCGCACTTATTAAATATAAGATAAATCATAATTTTGTACATTAATAAGACGCTCCGGTTATTTAGCCATGGGCATCCACCATTCATGGTCGGGAGCTGTGCTCCCAGTCTGCTCCGACTGCAGATTTCTTGTTGTAGTACAAGAAGCAGGCAGCAGATGGAGATTCACAGAACATAGCTTGCTTTCAACACGCACTCAGACTGCATTATGGTCACAAGTTTAAATGAAGCTTTGCTGCCTCACTCATGGTTACAATCATTATACCTTCAGAATGAACACGATAACTATCTAAGCATAATCACTGGACAGACCAGTGCCAAACACCTATGTAACTGAAATTATTTAAAAGTTATTTACCTGTAAAACCCAGTCTTATCTAGGTCATATTAGTACTGTTGATTTTTATTCGCAAACACTTTAAAAACTGCTGTTTTTACTTTCTAAATAAATTTGATGTGATTTTCCTCAGCAGAGCTCGTGAGGAGGAACAGCCCCTCCCTGTTCTTCTTTTCCTCTCGTTGTCTACTTCGCTCTGTTTAATGCCTCTGTTTAAGCTTAAATGAGATACTGGTATTTAAACACATATTTATTGTACACAAAGATTTTTTAAAAACTTTTATTTAAATATATCTTGACTGACATATAAATAAATCCGACGACTTCTCCACCGTTGAGCTCTCATTTACGGAAGGGGAGGGGGAAAGACTCCTTCTTCTTCTCCGCTTCTTGTTCGGATGTGACTTTAAAATGAGATCCCGGTATTTAAATGCATATTTACCGACACAGAAAGATGTCACACAAAGAAACTTAAAACTTTTATTAAAACATGTACCAGACTTGACTGCTTTGCGTCTCCAGTGCCCGTCCATCAACACACGTTCATGAAGCTTATGGCTGCAGCTGTTTCCTCCTCGACAGCTGATTGATCACGTTTAACATGAAATCTGCATCATAAGAAATTCTCCGAGTGTTTTCCTTTATCGCTGAACAAATGAACAGGTCTGTGCATGAAGCGCAAAATTTGGTAACAATACGGGAACTATCTGTAGAAATGAATTTACATCTATCTTGGGGGATGGTCCTCGAGAGTACCTTGTTGATCTTTCAGGTTAGACTTCTGGTCACATGATGACGGCGTGGGTGGAGTTATCGTTGGGTATTTGAAACCGTGAGCAAGAGTCATTGTACATCTGATTACATGAGAGCATTCTCTTTGGCTCACAAATGCCAGCCCCCATGAGGGGTGGGGTGCTGGGAGCCACAAGTGCCCAGCTCTGTCAAAGGAAAATGTTAGTCAGTGGCAGGAAGTCCTTGAAAATAAAAATTTTGAAAACTATGAAAAAATACATAAATAAGATGCTCCTGCATATAAACCGTGGGGTACAAAGTGTGAGACAAAAGTAGCGTCTTATAGAACAGCAATTACGGTAATGTTATTTTTTGTCACAGTTCGTTACTGTCTCATAGCCTCGTCTCCTTCAATATTTCAGTTCTGTTTTGTTGATTATTTTTATATTATTATTTATTCTGTCTCTTCAAAGGCAAAAAATCTGCTAAGAGCCTGAGTGATGTGGAGGAGGAAGAGGAGGATGAAAGTCTTGAGTCAGAGGACGGGGGCGAGAAGGAGAATGAAGACCAGTGTAATGAGGGAGGAGTTCCTGCTTCTGATCCGAAGAAAAGTTGTAAAAGAAAGAAAAGAACAGAAAGCTTGACTGAGGAACCAAATGAAAAGATAACCAAAATGGGTAAAAAGATCACGGAGGCAAACAAACATTACATCAACAAGAAACAATCATACAGTGTCCTGTAGTCCACTTTGGTTGTTAATCCTGACATACAGAGAGATTTTAGTACACAGTTCAAAAGATAAACCAAAACAGTCGTAAATTCAGAATATTCCCAATGATGACTTCCTATGCATCTTTAATTAGCCATTCTTTAGTTTTTAACTTTAAACGTCTGCTTTGATGATTGTGTGTAGAAGTTTCAGTTCAGTACAGTAGTCCCTCTTTTATCGCGGGAAATCCGTCCCCTGAAGCCCCGCGATAAGTAAAAAAACACAAAGAAGGAACTTTAGTTGTATAAGTGCATCCAATGATTGCTTTTTGAGAATTTCAATAAAATCTGTCCAGTAATTCATGACATATTGTTCAGACAAATAGACACACACAATTGTGTGTATGTGTGTGTTTTTACAAGTTTTGTTCTTGTGACTTTTTAATTATTTTGTTACTTCAGGTGAAGCTGATGTACCTGAAGACTCTGAGACAGCTCTTCCTGAGGATCAAACAAGTTCAGACATGTAATGACACTTTATAAACGTTGTTATAAATTAAATGTTATTATTTTTTATGGAGCTCAAATTCCTTCTTTTTTTTTTTGTATTTATGTTCAGGCCTGAAAAGGACGCAGTCACCAAACCAGCCAAGCTCTCGCGTGGCAGAGCCTCAAAGCCGCTGCTGCCGCTGGGCTTGAAGCGAGGTAACAAGGTCCCCCCTGCCAGGAAATGCACTGAAGCAACAGCAAATAAAGAGGAGAGCAGCTCGTGTGACAAAGCCTCTGAAGAACAGGTCCTTGCTCTTTCTTTAGCCACCACAGCTTATTGAGTCACATATTGAGACCTTATTATTTGCCTGACTGTGAGCTTTGTTTATGTTTTAGGTGAATGAAGAGAAATCCGATTTGAGCTGTGCCAACAGCAGGAAGTCTGCCAGTGATGAAGTTTCTTCAGAAGATGAGGCTGCAGTTAAACCTCAGAGACCCACCAGGTGGAATATTTCAAGTTCTCTAAAAATACAGCATTGAAAACTTTTCCTATCTTTTATTACCAAATTATTTTTAGTGCTGCTGACTTTTGTCCATTTTTTTTGTGTTTCGGTAGATACGGCAGAGTCCCCAAACCTATCCAGCCCTTGACTTATCCTTCTAAAGAGGATCCACATGCCTCTGAATCTGAAACCACGCCTGCAAAATCTAAATGTGTTGTTAAGAGAGGAAAATTGTCAACACAACAATCCTCGCAGAAGGTCAAAAAGCCCAAACTGGTCACTATCAGGTCCTCCAAGTCAGACTTCAGTGATGAGGAGAGTGAGAACGAGTTTGAGAATAACCAGATGGAAGGTGAGCACCTTGGATGCAGGTCCAGTAAAGATGCTGAAGCCTCTCTGTTTGTACCTTCAAGTCTGCACCTCACAAATATGGTGGTCTCAGAAGTGGACGATGCTATGGTAGAGGTTAGTAGAACAGTTAGTTTTTTTGTTTGTTTTCTGCATAGATACCATCATTTTTATTTTTTACATAATTCTGTTTCAATCATTTTGTGTTTGACATTATTGTTTCTTTGTGCATGGTTTTACATGACATCTTTCAAACCCTCCAATTCCAAACTTAGCTTGACATCTTGGACAGTATGCCTGATGTGCTGGGCATCTCCCAAGATGCACTGTTCCCCGATTCCTCTTGTCAGAAGGCACAAGATGACACAGGCACTGCTGAGCCATGTGAACATCAGTTGGACCTGCTGGTTGTAAGTGGAAATGACTCAAAGATAGTTAAATGTTGTCCTGATTCCCAGTTACATCTTAAATGTAATTATTTTTGCTGAAGGTGCTGGTGTAGATTCTTAGGACATGGATTAAAAATTAAAAAATAAAATAGCTGGACTTGTATTTAGGGGTTGAAGACATTTCGCTTCCTGTCCGGGAGGCTTTATTTAAATTCAAAACTGAAAAGTATGGAGTTTCAAGCTTTGAACTGCATGAGATGCTCTGTTATGTAAGCTGGGTTTTCATGCATATTAAACTCCCCGCTCTCTCACTGGAGAGTTGTTAGGCTTATAAGAAATGTTTTAGTCACATGCATGAAGGTGAGTTAGACTGAAACTGCTTAGGTATCAGGCTCAATGCTCCGTTGTAGGATGTAGCTGAAATCTGTTACCCTCTCTGTTTAAAGTTGTCTTCTTGTTTGATGTACAGTAGTCCCTTGTTTATCGCGGGGGGTTATGTTCTGTACTCCACCCCCCCATCCCTTAATAAGTGAAAAACCGTGAAGTAGGAACGCTATATTTATTTTAGTATTTACAGTATATGTATTTTAGAAACCCTTCCCACGCTCTTGCAATGTTCTAAACTCTTAAACCTACTTAATTTTAACAACATACATACTGTATATGTACTGTACCGTAGCTATGTACTGCAAAATTTTATGTGGGTACTTACCAGCCATGGTCAGGTTCTGATCGGTTCTCTGCAGCCATTGAGCACCAAGACGCTTTTAGAGAGAGCCGGATCTTCAGAGAGCCAGCATAAAACCCCACAATGATCCCAATCCAGTCCAAATCTGGCTGAAAAAAATCTCGGTGAGCTCCTAGAGAAAACACCGGACCTCCAAGCAACGCCTCCCCACTCGAGAGGCCTCATGGGCCGGCAAGCAGTACTCGGATTGAGCGATGAGGCGAGAAGTCCGGTTCTGGTCCAATTCCCGGTCAGTTCCGTGCGGCTCTCTGCATCCACTGAGCGCCCAAGTCACTATGAATAAGGACCAAACTTTTTCTGGTTGGATCAAAACTTTCCCTCCATTTTGGCAGAAAACAGTGGCCGGAAGCACTGTTGGTTTCTGGGTAATGTAGTCGTTTTGAGTGGCAACACAGTGTAGGCTTATTGAGAGAAAACTACAAATGGCGGTGCCTGCCCAAAGTATTTATTATTTTTCGTTAACTTTTTATTGTATCCAGTACCGTCCCAATCACGTGAGTAATATTAAAGTTGACAATTGTGTGTTGTGTACAGTAGTCTTTTTTTTTTTTTAATCATGTCCAATCTTACTTTGAAAAACCGCAAAAGAGCAAGTCCGCAAAAGTTGAACCGCGAAGTAGCGAGGGACTGCTGTGGCTTCCTTCCCCTCTCAAACTTTCTGTCTTATCTGTCCAAAATATGAACGTCTTGGTCCTCAAACGTGTTCCTTGTCCTTGTGGCATAGTTCCACAGCTGAGTCTTATCCTTAAGAACTGTTCTCCTGTGTTGAGCCATGTTCCTGTGGATTGGTTGTTTTTCCAATATGGAAGTCTGAACTTTCCTCACTGCACTGCGTACGCCACGTCGCTCAGTTGTGTTTGCAGGTTTTGTCCTTAAGACGGACCAGCTTTGTCTGAGAGTCCTGTTATGTTTGAAATGCATGGGATGTGTTGTGTGGAGAATATTCCTGAGTTTCTCAGATACTCCAACTGTTGACAAATGCCCAGTTTGATATCTACTGCTTTTTTCTCCAGTCCATGTGGTTTTCCATATAACTGGAGTGCCACCTCAATTGGATGAGGCAGGATAGTCACAGTGCAGCTGTCTGAAGCTTCTGCAACATTACATCCATCCATCCATCCATCAGGAACGTAGACCAACTGGTAAACAGAGAGCTTTGCCTTACAGCTCAGCTCCCTCTTCACCACAATGGACCGGCACAGAGTCCGCAATACTGCAGACGCTGCACCAATCCATCTGTCAGTCTCACGCTCCATTCTTCCCTCACTCGTGAACAAAACCCCAAGATAGTTGAACTCCTCCACTTGAGGCAGAACCTCACCCTCGACCCGTTATGTTCAGTCCATTGCAAACACAACACAGCAATGAGCAAAAACGTGAGAAAAGGTCACAACACTCACCATCTTTTGCCATGATTAAAAAAAAAATGCCAGGTCAAATGTGACGAGGTGAAAATGATCAAGAAATGTAAAGATTACACACGTGTATCGATGTTTTGCATTTATCATTAAGATTCAGTCTGATTTGGATGAAGTCTTAAAACGTTTTTTTCCTCCCTAATATCAACTAGAAAGCTATAGGAGAAAAATATAATCAGGAAGTTTAACTAGGGGAGCTGTCAAACATTTGTTAAATCGGTATAAAGAAATATTTTGATGTTATATCTGTTTTTTATTACAGGATGTTATAGACTTTCTTTCATCAGAACACACAGAAGGTATGTTGTAAATGTATTCTTTGCCATTTCTGGTGAATTAACTATTTTTAATCCATTTCAGTGGCTCCATTTTAAAATAAGACAAGACTTTATTATCCTGAAGGAACTTCAGAAGTTGCTAGCTGCTACAAGTCGCACAACACAATGATAGCAAAACATATCACAAAATAAACACAGAAAAGGCAAGTTTATAGAACATGTAAGGAGCTAGTAACAAAGGTAGTAAAAAAAATTTGATAACACAACTTACAAACAGGAAACATAAAACAAGTTATTTCAGAGTATGTTCTCAGTTATTGCACTAGGAAAACTCAGTAAATACTGTATAGATATGAGTGTTTGGTTGACTGTATTAATGTTGATGGTGTTTATTTAAGATTCCCCAGACGAAAGCTACAATGAAGCTGCTCAGACTCTTTTGACCATTGGCAACCTGACTCATGACTCCCAGTCAGCACAAAGTGAAATGACCACACAGGATTTTACAAAGGGTAGGAGAGACAGAACTCACCAAATTCCTCATCTTGGTATGGATTTTGTATGTTTTTGGTTGAGTTACAGTATATCATGTTTAATTGCAGAAATAACACTAGATGGTGTGAATGCATCTGACCATTCTGAAGACGATATGGCTCCTTCTGCACTAGAACAAAGTTCTACAACTTTACTGTGTCCAACTTATGATCAAGACGTCAGAGAAGCATCTCAGACTGTTTGCATTGTAGGATTACAAAGCAGTGAAATGGACTTGCCTCATATTGAAACCAGTATTCAGACATGCACTGAGCTGAGTACAGATCCTGTCTCTCAATTAACATCAGATTCAAAGAGCTCAAAAACATCTCCAGTCCTGAAAACAAGATGCTTCGTTAAGGTAAAGCCTAAACCAAAACTTAGTCAAACTTTGAGGACATCTCAAAAGAAAACTGAGCAACACGTGGTTAATGAAAGAACATCAGCTGAAGAAGTAACCCCAGAACAAACTGCTCCAGCATTACTAGAAGATAACATTTCTTCTACTGAAGTCAAATTATCAGAAGGGATGTCTTCTGTTACCCAAACCTGTTCTTTGTCTGCACCCCAATTTGAACCCAGTAGGAATCAGACCACCACAGATACAAGAACACCTGACTCTACAGAAGAAAGACTGATACTTCATGGTGAAACAGCTAATACATGCAATTCAGCTGTAGCAAAGAGTCATCAAGAGTCATCCACACTTTCAGATCCACTCCAGGAAAGCAGGGACAAGCATGCTCCACGTGCATCTGATGAGGATTCACCTGTCAGTCAAAAGGAACAATGTGAAGTTGCAACTTCCAGCAAGCCTAAGGGAAACAGATTCCCAAAAATCAAACCCAAACCAAATCTAACTCGGACAGCAAGAGCTGCAAGAAATAAACCTCAAGTCAGTGAAGAGACTGTGGAGAAAGACACTCTTTCATCATTGAAACCAGAGACAGAAAGCTCGTCTTTTAGTTTGAAACACACAAAACAAGTAAAGATACAAAGCAAAGTTGCTAATCAGGCAGAATTAGATGTGACATTAGATCAGAGTGCCACAGAAAACCAGAACATTTCTGAAGTGCAGCTCACTGAAGACTCTAGGTTAACCTCCGAGTTCACAGAAGAAAACTTCATGCCACAGATTGGATCAGCTGACCCGACTGTTGCAGAATCACAGCTTCCAGAAGGCTCAAATGTAGCTTTAGAAGCAACGCAAGAAAAAAGTGACAATCCTGCGACTTCTATTGATCCTGTAGAAGAACGAACAGTTAATAAAGTTGCATCTACTTGTCAGCTGAGGAGGAGTCGGACACAAAAAACTAAACCCAAACCAAAAGTGCCACAGACATCAAGAGCTGTAAGGTCTAAACATCAAACCACGGAAGAGCCGGGAGAGAAAGGTTCATGTCCTGGTTCAAATCCTGATGTCCCTGAAAAGAAAATTGCAGAGTTGGAACAAAAATCAACGTCTACCTTTGATAAACAAACAGAAAGCTATGATTCTGCTTCATGTTTAAAGCCACCACTCACTTCTGGTTCCTCTGGAACACCCTTACAAGAAGATCAGACAAATATTGGACAAGATCAGATAAATATGGAGACAGCATCAGATCAGAGTGTTGTAAGAAAACCAAACTTCTCAGACCTTCAACCTGAAGAAGTTGCAAAGGAAACCACCAGTGATACAGGATTTAATTCTGAATTCACAGGTAAAAACCTTTCATTCCTTGTTGAAACAAGTGAGAGCAGCTGTAATAACACAGTTGATTCAGTGGGAGTAGAAGTTCACCCACATTTACAGTTGGATTCAGCCCCAGTTCAAGAACAAAGTGGTCTTTTTATCAAACCTGCACAAGATTGTAAAGTTGCATCTGCTTGTCCATCGAAGAGTCGTCAATTACCAAAAATGAATCCAAAACCAAATGTGCCACAAACGTCTCCAAAGTTTAAACCCTTAGAAGAGCCAACAAAAAAGGACTCGACTTCTAGCCCAAATGTTGAGTCTCAGAAAAAGATAATGACAAAAGTGCAGCGAGAACCAACATGCAAGTCCCAACGTGAAAAACAGACCCAAGATCAGTCAAAGGTCCATTTTGAGCTGGGTGTGGAGCAGGTCGCCAGAGATGTGAAGTCTTCTGAGTTCAAAGATGCAAACTTGACGTCCCACGTTGGAACAAGTCACAAGTGTCATAATGTGGCATTAACTAGTCAGTCAATCACACAAACACAAGATGGTCAAGAGTCAAATCCAACGTCTGTTAGAAGTGGACCGCCTGCAGCTTCACAAGAATTCCTCATTCAGGAGAAAGAAGTTGCGTCTGCTTGTCAGTTAAAGAGGATTCGATCACAAAAAATTAAACCAAGACCAAATCTGCCACAGATTTCAAGAACTGCGAGGTTAAAACCTCGAGTTTCAAAAAAAGCTTTAGACCAAGATTCAAGCTGCACTCCACCGCCTGATAAAACAACCAACGCAGAGGTGGAAACTCAGCCGTGTTTACCTGAAAAACAAAGTGAAGACACAGATGTTGGATCTGATGGTGGGCTGGATTTGGGAACTTCAGTTGAGAGTACGTCTGGAAACCAAAACCTTTTTGAAGTTCAACCTGAGCAGAGTTTGGAGCAGGACGCCTCAGAGATGAATTCTTCTAAGTTCAAAGGTACAAATCTGACGTCTTATGTTGGAACAAGCAAGATTTGTTCATATACTGAAGAAACGGCTGACTTGAGGTGCAGAGATTCACAAGTTGGAAAAAGGGCAACTCTAGATTCAACTTCACTCCAAGACCAGAGTGGCCATCTTCCTGCTTTAGTTACATCTGTGGAGAGGTTGGCAGTCGGTAAACAAGAGGGTGAACCTGACTTATCACAAGACCATGTCACAGCCATGCAACATCTGGACAAAACTCAAATTCTCATCTTGAGCTCTAAATTTTCAGACAAAACAAAAGAAGAAGAAGCAGAACCTACTTGTTCTACGTGGCTTCCAGATAACTTAAACCAAAACAAACGTACTGACTCTTCTCCAGTTTCCTCACAGCTACTGGAATCAGCTCCTAGATGCACCGAGGAGTCGTCTTCATGTAAAGAACAACTGATGCCAAACATTGGGCAAGTTGCAGCTTCAGAGGACGCAGAACAAATTATTCCTCAAAGGAGGCAGCGGTTTCCAAAGGTCAAGCCCAAGCCCAATTTAGGATCAGTTAAAATCACCCGCAGAAATCTTCAATCAGTTGACGGCAGTAAGCATTTAGAAAAACAACTCGTGGACTCTTACTCAATTGTGACATCAGAGCAACAACCCAAGGAATCGACTAAGAACAAAATGTCAAAAGATGATGGCTTGGAGACTGATTTAGCTTCCTCTGAGCATGGCAAGGTGAAAATGTCAGACACCCAGCCGGTAATTGATCAGACTGGAATTACAGATGTCCAGTCTACAAGAAAAGAAACTACTTCTATATCCCACAAGACCGACTCATCTGATCAAAGGTAGGACATGTTTCTACGTCCAGAAAATTCCACTTATATTGTCCATTTATATTGCTTTTTGTTTTAAAGGGAAACACAAATAAAAATCTTCTTTATTCTCTTCTTAGCTCTGATCAGATGCCATCAGAAATGACTGCAAGTAAAGCTCCTGCAGCTCGGAGAGGACGGCTTATTAAACCCAAACCTAACCTGCAACGCAGCAGCCGTCCTCAACAACCCCAGCAAGTACAAAGCACAAAGCCAACAGAAGCAGGTGGGGCACTTATTAAAATAAGTTTCTGTCCAGATTACTGTTAATTGGAGCTGCTGATAGCTGTTTCTTCTTTTCTGTAGACTCCAGTAGTTGCTCAAGAGGAGTCGGTGCATCTGTTGATCACACATCTGTATGTGATCTCAGACCTGATCATCAGGGGCCAAGTAAAGGAACTGTTGAGAAACTAGATCAAAAAGACTCCAGTTCAAATGATGCTCGTTCTTCTCTTGGTTTTGTGACACAATCTACCACACAGGTACGATAAATATGTTAAATTCTATAAATGTTTATGCACTTTTGGGAAAATAAAAAAATATAAAACCAAAGTTTTAAAGAATTTAACCCAGTGCGTGTTTTTAAAACATCTTCTTTAGACAGAAATTACAAAATTATAGCCCTAAATATAACTAAATACTAGGGTGTTCCAATAATAGTTTATTTTCTGACCAAGTGCAAGTACTTCAGTTTGGGTACTTGACAATACTGAGTACCGATACCAAGTAGTTAATGGTTAGTACCTAAACGTTACACAATAACTTTGTAAACAAGTTTCTTTTATTAAGAAGAGAGCAAACAGTTTGTTGTCTTAACACCACTCCTATTTATTGTAAAATATCTCTAAACTATGGACTTTTTTTTGTCCTTGGTTACTTGCAAAGTGGAAGAGGAAATTCTAAAGAATAAGGGGCCACGCTCCTAGGAGCTGCAGCCACGTGCACTCTGCCCATCTTTCGGACAACTGTACAGAATATAATCTTGCAGTACTTCAGTGCAATGATGATAAAGCTTATTCTGTTTCTGATTCTGAAATGACGTCTCCAAGCATAAGAGTTGTATTTTGTGTGTTTATGTCATATGAAAACCAATAGGCTTTGTTATAGCAGATTTAATAACATTGTCATGATTTAGAGGTTCAAAATAATTTTAACGTTTTATATGGACAGCTGTTGTAATTAGTCCATAGTCTAGATATTGTTTGTATGAAAGTTACTGCATTGAAGTATTAATAATTGGAGCAAAAGACAGTGGGTTATATGTTATAGGTTCATTAACAGTGAGGACATAAAGTGGTTTAGCTCTGGATCTAACCAGCCATTGAGAAAAGACACAACTCTAAGCTACCAGGAAGTACAGTGGACCAAAAGGGACATAAACAGGCAAAGTCTTTGCCTCAAAAATGGTGCAAACTCATGGTCTTACTTTATTATTATTGAATGAAAGACAGCAGGCAAAATGAATTCCTCCAAGGAGTTCTGGGTTTTAATTTTGTTTTAGGAGTCCATGCTGTAACTACTGATTGAATTTGGTGGAAAGCCCCGCTGTCTGCTACAAACAGAACACTATCGGGTTGATCAGGAATGGGCCTTAATACTGATAAAAACCTGCTGTTTCTTTTCTTCACATTTCTTCCTTTGATTCTTTTAATCTCAGGATGAATCAACATCAAGTGCTGAGGGGATTTTTAGTCATCCACTCATATCAGAATGTGAGTCATGCAAAGATTTAGTTTCACTCGCATTACTTTGTTTGAATGTTACTTTGTTCTTTTTTTGGTTTTGGACTAAAACGTGTCTCTCCCTCAGTCCTGCCAGCCGAAGTGCCTTCAGATCCAGATGAACCATTCTTCATCCTCTCTCTGACTGCGATCCCAGTCTCATCGGTTGTGGAGGGGGTGAACAGTGCATCTGAACACCTGCCAGGTCTCACTGTAACAGATTCATTAGTACATCAACCAAGGTAAGTTTTTTTGTTGTTTTATCAGCCTGACTTCCAACAAGACTTGACGCTGATGGTGCAGTTCAGGAACTGTCTCCTCCCTTCACAGCACATCTCTGGAAGCAGCAGGAGATGCGTTTGTTTCCACAAAGGAGAGAAGTGTGGGAATCTGTGTAGACATTGGCCAAGAACCAGCTATATCCCAACAAGGTAGCGTGGTAGTTGCCTGTGTGTTTGTCACGTTAACTAAATGAGTCATGAACTAATGGATGAATTTTAATGAAATTCTCAAAAAATGTTTACCATATTTTTTGCCCTATAAGTCACTTTTTTTTACATAATTTGCATGCCCTGCGACTTATACGCCGAAGCTACTTATTTATGGATGCTTTCCATATTTATAAACCAAGTTTTGGCTGAGATATGACCGTTTTCATTCATTCTGACTGAAAATATTGAACACTACCATTTTCAGCCGCTAGATGGCAACAGAGTTGTTTTGTCATGTAATAGGTAAAAGTGGCTATTAATGACAAATTCAGCTTGCCACAGCCTGCCACCTTTGTCCAGCTCCCTTGGAGCAACCGTCAAATCAACTTCATTTTTTTTCGCCGCCCCGGCGAAATGCAGCTAATTTGACCATTAAAGTGCATTTATTAAGTAAAATTCAACTGAGACACACCTTTACTATAATGCTGAGCAAACAAGTAATTGTTTTTGTGTTAATCTTGTTAAATTCTTTTTAAAGTCCTCCCGTGCACGCTTCAGTGGCCGCCATTTGGCAGCCATTCGGTTTTTGGCACAACACCGGCCCACATTTTCGGGTTGTCAGCAGTGACGCGAAATAAATGCAACGCGTCAGTGGTGACGCATAATAGATGCGACATATACAGCAAAGCAACATATTTATGAATTTTTCCACTTTATTAGACTTATTTGGACTGATGCGACTTATAGGGCAATGCAACGTGTACGATGAAAAATACTGTATTTGGGTTTACATCTAAACTTTATTAGATTTTCAAGTCAGCCTGAATTAAAAAGTCAAATTTTATTAATTGTAAATGGACTGTACTTAAATAAGATACTCAAAGTGCTTTACACTACCATACCATACCACTTTATTTATAAAGAACATAAAAGCAGCAGCAAGGCCAACCAAAGTGCTGGACAGCAAAACAAAGCAAAGGACACAGGTTAAAATACATACAATTCACAGAGGAAAAGATAATAAACTACCATAAATGACTAAAATAATAAAAACACAGCAAAGTTAAAATCAACTTGCACTGGATCAAAAGCCAGAGAATAGAAGTGAGTTTTCAAACGAGACTTTGGCTGGGTACCTTTCTAAAAAAAATTTGGTATCTGTACCGGTACCTTCATTTCAGTGTCGGTTTCTGAATGGTACTTTTTTCAGTACCAATTTTATAATCAATATTAATTCTAACAAGAAGAACATTACGTTACACATTGCAGTACACATCTTGAGTTTTATTTTTAAACTTAGGTATTTTTTCTATTCCAATCAGTTTTCTTACATAAAAATAAACAACTAATTTCCAGGTCAAAAGAACCGTTTCAAACCAGTGACACATCAGTGTCTAAGTACCAAGTAGAATTCCTCTGGTGGAGATGATCACAGCCACTGAGTCAGCCATCCGCAACAACAAAATGAAAGAGGCTGAAGCAGAACAGCTCAGAATCAAAGTTTCATCCTGCCTCAGCAATGCCAAACCACCACCTTCCAACATCAGTAGAGAGGAGAGGGATGCACTCACCACTCTTAGCAAGGACAAAAACATCATAATTCTCCCAGCAGACAAAGGAAGGTGCACAGTGATTTTGAACCAGAAAGACTATCATGAGAAAGTTATGACACTCTTTAGTGACTTAACCACTTATGAACCTCTGAAAAGAGATCCAGGAAGTGGTTACAAGAAGAAGTTAATAGATTGCCTGAAAAATTTGGAGCAGGACAAGGCTATTGACCGTATTCTGTACCACAGACTGTACCCAGGGGAGGCCACACCTAGTCTGTATGGTTTACCTAAAATCCACAAACAAGATGTACCTTTAAGACCTATTGTTAGCATGATTAACTCTGTCACTTACAATGTTTCCAAATATCTGGCGTCTGTACTCATCCCTTTAGTTGGCAGCTCAGAACACCACATACAGAACACCATGGACTTTGTGGATAAGGTGAGGGATGTCATCATGGAGACTGATGAAACAATGGTCTCTTTTGATGTCACATCACTCTTTATGTGCATTCCTGTTGATGATGCAGTAGAGGTGGTCAGTTTAAAATTAAAATCAGACACCACTCTGAGCAGCAGGACCACGCTTTCCACAGAACAACTGTGTCAACTCTTGAAACTGTGCCTGAAGTCAACCTACTTCACATATGGGGAGCAATATTATAGGCAGAAACATGGGTGTGCTATGGGGTCTCCAGTTTCTCCTATTGTTGCCAACCTGTACATGGAGGAGGTAGAAAAGAGAGCCTTGACGTCCTTTTCAGGGGCACCACCAAGTCATAGGTTCAGGTATGTTGACGACACCTGGGTTAAAATTAAATCTCAGGAAGTCCAACATTTTACTGACCACATCAACTCTGTGGATAAATACATCAAGTTCACACGAGAAGATGTAAAAAATGGCAGGTTGGCTTTCTTGGACTGTGAGGTCTCAGTCTCTGATAGAGGACATTTGCAAACTGAGGTGTACCACAAACCCACCCACACAGACCAGTATATGCAGTTTGACTCCCATCACCCTTTGGAGCACAAGTTAGGAGTCATCAGGACTCTGTACCACAGAGCAGACAGCGTCCTCACTAACTCAGGAGCCAGGCAGAAGGAGAAATCCTACACAAAACAGGCTCTAGAGCAATGTGGATATCTTAACTGGGCCTTCCTGAAAGCAGAGAAGAAACCCAAACAGGACTCCAGTCAGCCATCAGGTGAAAAGGAGGAACTCAGACCCAGACCAGTGGTCATTCCGTATGTTGAGGGAGTATCAGAGAAACTGAGACGTTTATTTTCTAAACATAACGTCCCAGTGGCTTTTAAACCCCAAAATACATTACGGCAAAGACTGGTTCATCCCAAAGATCCAGTCCCCCGGCACAAACAGAGTAATATTGTGTATGCTGTTCAGTGTCAGGAGGGCTGTGATCAGTCTTACATCGGGGAAACTAAACAGCCACTGGCCAAAAGGATGGCCCAGCACAGAAGATCAACATCATCAGGCCAGGACTCTGCGGTCTACACTCATCTCCAGGCCATCGGTCACTCTTTCAGGGATGAAGATGTTCACATCCTGGACAGAGAGGAATGATGGTTTGAGAGAGAAGTAAAGGAGGCCATCTTTGTGAAAAGAAATCGTCCATCATTAAATCGGGGTGGAGGCGTCCGGGTTCAACTGTCCCCCTCTTACAATGTTGTTATTGCTAGTATCACTCAACCCCCTGTGAATAGTAAACAGCCATCAGTGTGCTAATGATCCATTGTTAGGCTGATGTTCCTTCTTGACCATGTGAGCAGCTGGTTTTGGTTGTCAGCAGCAAACTGGTTGATCCACTCTGAGAAGGTGCTATTTAAGAGACTGAGCTGAATACAGCTCCTCAGACTGAGGAAGTCTTTCGGATGAGAGAAGAAACGTTTCTATATTTTTTTGTTGTTTTGTTTTTTGAATGTCCAGAGGACCAGATTTAACTTTTTTAGAGTTTTATAGAACAGGTTTTTTTTAAGTTTCCTCACCTGTCTCCCCTGACTGCACGTCACTGCATAAGCTTATAGACGAAACAACAATAAACACATTTACTACTGAGGTGATATCAATAATGATGCACAGCAACTTCATATTTTGTTTAAAAAAATACAAAGTAGTTAAAGAAAAAGATGTTTGATAAATTAACTCGTGTTTTGCAAATGAAACGAGGGAGATATCTGACACACATTTCATGTGTCTTACTCCACAGCAACGCAGCTGAGTTCTGCTCCATGCCTGTTTTGGTTCTGCACTGCCCGCTGAGTTTCTGAAAACTCACATTTGAGCGCAAGTGGCCAGCTTCAACTGTGATTTATGAACGGCCACAGGGAGCATAAAGACAGACTGGTCTGTGTGGCTATTTCGCAGAAGTGTCTTATGAAAGAGCCTCACCTTTCTCAGTGACTCCAGATATTGATCTGACCCCAGCAGAACCATGGAAAGGAGACATGTTAAGGCCCTAAAGCCCACTGACGGTCAGCGGATCAGCATTCCTTCTATGGTCACCCGAGGTTATGGAGATGGCTTTAAGAAGTCTCAAACTCTCCAATTTCAGATCATTCTAACAAATTCAGGAGTTGGAGGGTGACATGACACCTATGAACAATTCTTTAACTGGACTTGTATCTGAAAGTTACAAATGGTTCTTGCAAACTAGATTTTCTACAGCAGAGCTTTAAAAATCTAGGTAAAATGTACAGTATGCTTTAAACTTACGTAACAAATCATGATGAAAGGAATCAGGGAGAGACCACAACAAAACACATCCAACTAAACAAAGAGCTAAGGTCCCTCCAGTTTATGAAAAGAGGTGTCAAATTACTGCCAGACACTGATTCTGACAAGTTCAGGAGCCTGAGCATCATCACAGACAGAGCTTTATGTTCCTGTTCAAAAGAGCTTCTATTATGTGAGATCACTGGACTGACAGACTGATAACATCTGTTCAAGCATTTGACTAGTTTCCTGGTAGATAAACAAACATGGATAAGATATCCATTGTGTGAAGTTTCAGCAAATAACCTGTCCAAATAAAACCAGCACTCCATGAGAACAGAGCGACCTTTTACACAGAACTTGTTGCTGGAAAGCTGAGTGTAGGTCAAAGGTCGTGAAAATGTAGGCCCTTCATGCTACAATGACAATATGCACAATTTCAAGTAATCCTGCGAGATGTCACACTCAGTAAGTTTTGTGAACGTCTCTGTACTACCTCACCAGATTTTAGCTCATTGCCCGTAAAATCATCTGAGTTGTAGCCACTTTGTGTGCACTAATTTTGAACAGCTGTGGCAGCTTTGTAGATTTGAATCGGCACCAAAAGATAATTAATTGTAGATGTTGGGCAAAACTGAGCATTCACACAGGATTTGACAGCCGTACAGTGAGCGCAGGGACACAAAGACACTAACAGTATTATGAATAATAATGAACGGCTGACAGAAAGCTTTTGGAATGTGTTTCATAAGAGCCCAGA